ATCCACTATTAGTCTCATAAGTTGGTCCCTTTAGAAGGTTCCACTTTCTTTGGAAAAAAAACCGCCAAAACCCATCTAGGCCTGGGGCCTTATAGCTTCCCATATTAAATAGACATTGATGAACCTTTATGCAAGATGGCACCTTGTATAAACCATCAAGAAACTCTCCTGTGATAATCGGCGACTGAGATATGAGCCATCTACGAGTAGAGATATCCTCCGTAAACAACTTATTGAAAAAATTGCATGCCATAATTTTCAGTTGCTGTTCATCTTGAATCCATATATCCCTGTCATCCTGAATCCTAACTATTTTATTGACGTTGCAACGAGATATTATCGTCAAGTGATAGAACTTGGTGTTGTAATCCCAATTTGTTATCCATTTATAACGGAATTTTTGAAACCAGGGCATCTCCTCCCTTTCTAGAATATCAATCAGCTGTTGATGACACCTATCTTCTTTAGCTTCTAGTTCCCTTGAGTCATGCAGAACCCGCACTTGTTGGATTTGCTCAAGTTCTAAATTTAGCTCCTTTTTCTGATTAAAGATATCCACATATACCTCTTTATTCCATTTGCCCAAAGGATTAACAAACCTCGCAAGCATGATAGAGAGACAATAGCATGATTTCCAATTATAGGCCATAATTCAGAGAAGTCGGGGTGATTAAGCCAATCAGCCAGAAATCTGAATGGCCTAATCGATTTGTCTACCTACTTACCATCTAACCTCAACAACATGGGTGTGTGGTCAGAACAAAACCTGATTAAGTTCACAACATCTGCTTTATCAAAAAGAAGACTCCAATTAGGATTAGCACAAACCTTATCCATTTTTTTGTAAACCCGCTCCAAATGGCTCTACTTCGGCCCCCTCCATATGTAAAAAACACCAGATACCTTTAGATCATCTAACTGCTGATTATTCAATCTTTCCCAAAACTGTATGCAAAATCACCAGCAACAATCAACTGGTCCACAACAAAATTATAAATATTATCTAGACACCCCCATAGTGCTTGTCGCTCACCAATCATTGGACTACCATACACGATAGTAAATTCAAATTGGGAACCAAAAGCTATAACCCTCATATGAATGTTTTGGAATGATCTGTTTAAAATGTAACATCCTGGGCGCTGACGAGGGGGGAGTGATCGCCGGTGCGAAAGGGCATGGACAAGGAGCGGCTCCTGGCAAGCTTCCAGTGACGGAGGTACATGAATGAATCGAATCAATACCCGAAAGAGAGGGATTCCAAAGACTGGGCTGGTATGGGACGGTACAGTTGGGAATAACTTATAGGAATTAATTGGTACTACCTATACTAACAAGATGCATCTACTTTTTCGGTAGCCCAGAACGGAAGAACTCTGTAGTTAAGCGTGCTTGACCTGGAGCAATTCTGGGATGAGTGACCTCCTGAGAAGTTTTTCCAGAAAGTGTGCGAGTAAGGAAAAAGAACGCTGAAAAGTCTCGTGTTAGTGTGTAGGGACAGTCGTTGATCCTTGCAAGTTGCCAAACGTTACATAAAACACTAACCTGGACAACATTTGTTGACTAGAGCACCCAAATACCACTAGAATAGCCACACGTCTCCTCCATAACTAAGTAGTCCAAACTAAGTTTCCTGCATAACTTTAGACAATTGGCCCCATCCGTTCTAGTTTCAACTAGAACCAATAACTTGACTCTGTACTTAGAGAGCAAAAACTTCAGGTGACAATTGTTTCTGATTGTTCGCATCCAAACTATTCTTTGGATTAATTTTTTCTATTTTTCTTGGACGACCAACTGGTCTTTCCACCATTTGCCTTGGTTCTTTGATCTTGTTTCCACCATGGTCACCATCTTTTTGGGTTGCATTCTCATCCATTATTTTATAGGGGATCAACAAAAAGCCAATTGGGGTCCCTCTCAATTGGTCTAGTACTCTATGGCAGCTCCAGGTTCCTCGATTTCTCTAGTCACTTGGTCCTTCTACAGTGCAATTAAAAGTAGTATGTCCATCGACGGTGCAGACCTCTCACGGTTGCCTTCGCTAGACATGTTGATCACTATTTGTTTCTCTGAGACATCCGCCATGTACTTATCTCCTAACATAGATATCCTATCTTCATTGCTTGCACTGATCCAAGAAAGTGAGACAGAGGGGCTGTTGACCTCTTCTTTCCCATCAAAGTCAACATTGCTACCCTCCACTTGGTAAGTTCGGCCTTTCTTCCCTACCACCTTCCACATTACATTTTCATTGAGTTTTCTGGTTGAATCTTTACTCAACTGCGCTGTTATATTTTTTTCTTCGGACAACTATCAATACGATGATCATATCTCTTACACTCCGAGCACAATACATTCAGTCCTTCATAGACAATATCTCTTTTCTTTCCCTCTATATCTCCAGCGGTTGGGATAGGTCAACTTCCACACATATTCATGTAAACCTTCCTCTAGCAATTTTAGAAGCTACTGCATCCATTCGGACAAACTTCCCAATCAAATTGCCCACATCTGTTAGTAGCTTTGTTTTAACTAAAGCTAGAGGGAAATTAGGGAAGCTTACCCACATCTTGACCTTATTAATGATCGCCTAATTAAGGTCGAAATCCTAGCAAATAAATAGCGATCTTGCACCATCCAAGAACCACTGCTACGTGCAGCTTGAAGATCACGCATTGATTCGAATCGCACCAGATAGAAACCATTCTGCAAATCATTCACTACTATCCTCTCCTCTCTGGCCTAGAAACTTTTCAGTTTTCGCTACAAAAAATCGAAAGAGAAACGTTTTCCTAATGACTTAACAATCAGGGTCTGTCTCTACCTTCTCCATGCGCATTATTAGAATTCACTCGAAAGCGTAAATGTCATGATACCCTCCTCGTTCCTTTTATGTTGGATGTTTATGCTTTCCGCCAAGTATACCGATCGCACAAGTAATAAAGTGGTAAATAATGTTCATCTCCACAGAGATTGTGATCGTATATCAATTAATAGTCCTTTAAAGAATGGATGAGTTCAAAGAGTTTTGACAAATATTGTCAATTTGTGTAAAATCGAGAACTGAAAATAATGACTTGTTTTTGTATTTTTATATTGAGAAAAAGAACAATAAAATAAGAATTGATGTTTTGAAATGTGAGAAAAACATTGTAGCTAGAGCGCACTCACCTTATGATTCTCACTTCTTACTTTGGATTGATTTACAATATTCATTTATAAAACTACTCGGATAAATTATTATCTAAAATAATTAGTTAAATCCCAATCCCTTGGCAATTTAACTATTTAATTTCAATTGAAATCCTAATCCCTTAGTAACCCCTCATGAAAATTAAGCGATGAACTCTATAATTTAGTCATCCGCAATTCAATACACATCTATTCCTAGCATGCATACGAACCATTATTCTACCCTCTTTCAGGATGAAAACCCCAATATCCCTATCTAGGGTTCTAACCCTCAGACTATTATCAACTATTAGAGTGATCAATTCTAATAAAGAAAATATAAAATACGCGCAGGATAGAGATAAAGATAATTTATATAAACGAGTAAAAGTAAACCAATCCGTCGTACAAGGGTTCACATAGGGTTTGTGACCCTAACTACAATAAAAAGAAACTAGCCAAGCATAATCATGGCTAAAAATAATCCAATATTCAAAAGCATAAAATTAAGGAGAAAGGAGAAGAAGAACTTGATCCCAGGAATCCTCTCGGAGCTCTGTCGTCGTCTCTCTTCAGAAGAATAGGTATGAATCCCTAATTCTGTCATAAGGATCCTATTTATAAGCCGCTTTTCTTTCTTCCAAAATTACCCTTCGCGCAGCACGGTCAAATTTCCTGCAAACCGGCGCCAGTTGGCGCCGGTTCGCGCCACGCTTCTGTCCAATTCAGAAAAGTCGAACCTGATTGCATGTAAACTGGCGCCAGTTGGCGCCATTCTTCACCTTTTTGGGCGCCTAGTGGCGCCATTCTTCTTATGTTTTGGGCGCCTATTGGCGCCATGATTTTGGTGATGAATGTGGCGCCATTTTGGTGCCACTGAGCGCCACTCAAAAACCTCTGCTGCAAAGTTCGCAATCCGGCACCAGTTGGCGTCGGTGTGGCGCCAGTCTGCGCCATTCTGCTGGCATTTGTATTGTGATACATCCATGCGTGTAGAGTTGCATTAAGTGAATTTTTATAATTTGTAATTTTACTTCTCTTTTTCGTGTAAAAACACAACCAAAAGGTAAATATTATTGACATAGAAAAAATTAATATAAATAGCAAATATTTATTTAAATGACTCTCTTATAACTCAATTCTTATCAATATTAACACAGAAAAACTAGACTTACCATAGACACATCAGATGTCCCCTTCTTTTTCTGTTGATCCTGGTTCGACGTCTTCTTCAAGCAACTCACCATCCCACTTGTTATGAAGTGACTGTACCACTCCCACAAAAGAAAGATGTTTTTGTTTCTAACCTGCGTCAATAATGTTTTGACTACCTGGATCCAGATCACGCATGGCAGGGCTCTTATTCTTGATCAGATCGCTTGAGATATGTGGAGAGCTTGCAACGTCGCCAGTTTCCTTCAACGGTGTAGAGGTTGCACCATTTGCGCCATTTACCATACACCAAAGCCCTAGTAGAGACCGTTCAAAACCCCTTTCTTTCTTTCAAGAGATGTTAACATTTGAAATCAATTTGTTACTTACCAATATAAAAGAAAAACAACTTGTTTCGAAAATTAAAGTTTGAAATATACTGATGTGAGAAATAAAATCAAAAATATATGATTTATGAAAAAAAACATATAAATAAAAAAAGTCTAATATTCACACACGTTTTAAAAAGAAAAATGTAAAATAAAAAAAATCAATGAAAGATATTTTTATGCCCCACGAGATGAAAACGATTATTTCCATGTGGCCAAATGTGTGGTTATTACCATCATATAAAGACCTTACTGAAGTATAGTTTAAACCATAGTACATTCTTCTTTCTACTCAATGGCTCTCAACTGTTACACCTTTGTCTCTCCTTCTCCACCCTCTCTTTTCCTACACATCCACCGTCCCTCAAATAATACTCGTCGAGTTTCATATCCAAATGCTTCCTTAAGCTCTTCTGCATCTCCCTCCCCTGAATCAAAAGCATCATCATCCCCATCAAGTGTTCCTTCTGCAACTTCTACTTCATCTTCATCCACCCCTTTTGTTGAATCTGGGCCACATGAGCCTGCCTTCAACTATGCACTCGCCAACCCCAATGGTAACCCAGTTCTTAGGATTGTTCGAGCTACCGAATCTACCATTGAGAGGGTATTTTGGTCACTCCACTTTTTTATTGCTGATTTATATGATATGATATATAGTTGAAGAAAAATACTACTCTTATTTTACATGAGATAGTTATTTTATTTTCTTTCACTTCAAAAATCGCACGATTTTTTTTTTTTTTTTTTACTTTTTAATGGTGGGCCCCACTTGGATTCTCTCTCCGTAACATGTGAAAACTATTATCGTGTAACATGAGATTAATATTTTCCGTAATTGAATGCTAGTCAATGTTTTCTTTATTGTAATTCATGGTCTAAATTGTATTTTGCACCAAACTTACAAATTAAGGGTATTTTAGTCACTCCAATTTTTATTCCTGATTTGTATGATATAATATATTATTGCATGAGAATTCAATTCTCTCTTTGATTTGTTTGCAAAGTTTTTTTTTGTTTTTTTTTTATTTTAATAAATGTGGGATCTATCACTAATTGAGTCACAACATGACAATTCAATTCTCCAAGAAAAAATCAAATCCGATATATTATATATTTGGATGCAAGTCAATGTTTTCTTTATTATTATTTATTTATGGGATTTATTAATCTCCTACTGTAGGAGATAGCTTACCTCATGTTATAGAAACAAATCATGTGGGTCCCACTATTTTTAAAAAAATCAAAAATAGAAAAAAGAATGACACGACTTTTCATGTGTCACTAGCATGAGAGAATTCTCTCAAGTAACATAAGATAATTTAAACCCTTTATTTATTTATGTGAAAATAAAAATAAAAATTAGGAACATGCTGTCTTAATTGTATAGTATTTGTACCAAACTAACAAATGAAGGGTGCCTAGCATTGTGGATGATGTGGTTAGATTGATGACATAATGTATGTTCTCTTGGCATGTAGAGCAGAGACATAGCTGTGGATAGTTACCATCGTGGCTAAAGATATAAAAATTCTAAAAGTAAAATAAATCATAGAGGAATAAATGTAGTTAGTGGGGTTAAAAGAATTGGAAACTGTATTCTTTATTACTTCATGTGCGGTTGACCTGTGGAGGGATCACTTGCTGTGTAAAAATCTTTAAGCAGAGTTTTCTGGAATAAAAGGCACTGAGCTGAAGGGTATATTATACTTTTTCTTCTTTGTCTAAGCCATTTGTCTATAATAGCTACTAGTACATTCATTAGAGTAGCTCTGGTATGTATGGTTTTGAGATTGTATTTTACTTAATTTTCAGAAACATGTGGTAATCTGATAAGAATAAATGATTAGGATTTTTAAGTTGTTGGAAATCGAAGTGTGGGGAGTGCCACGTTTGTTGGGAATGGACTAAGTAAGGGCTGTTTTGTTTGGTATAACTTTAACCCATTAATGGTAGTTCTCCCCTTGATAGGCTCTCCCTAACCCAGTCACCAACTAATATAAGTAACATGTTATACAGTCCCCCACTGGTTGGGAATTGAATAAGTAAAAACTATTTAAGTGAAAGAACTTATTGCGTTAGAATTTTGAGTCAAGAAGTGGTGTTAGGTTCACTTATGTTGTTTGATATAGCTTTAACTCATTAGTAGTAGTTCTCTCCTAACATAATTGTTATACAGGGCATTGAGATTGTATATAATTTAATTATCAGAAACTTGTTGAAGCTGTAGATATTGTCACTGAAAATTAAGTGATAAATTTTTTTTCGTTTTTTTTTTTTAAAGCCACTAGTATTGTTCTAGTGATGAGGGGCTTGGGTAGGTCGTATTAGGTTATATGTTCAATTTCCACTTGTATAAAAAAAAATAAAGTTTTTTCATTTGAGAGTTACATTGGAGGTGCAATCATCTGTTAGGGGAAGGGGATAGGTGACCTGGTAGAAGATATGCACAAATTTTTAATAAAGACGTACGCTGATGCCAATTGAGCTACAAGCTGGCAGTGATAAATTATTTTGGAGCATGAGAAAACTCCATGTTTTTATGATAACAACTACTTTTCCACCCTCATTATTCCGAAGTTAGTTATATACTAGTATGTATTCTCTTCTCTAATTAACATCTTTTTTGTTCTATTGAGCAGGCCATTTTCGACTTCCGTTTCTTGGCACTGCTTGCTGTTGGAGGTTCCTTGGCTGGGTCACTCTTGTGCTTTCTAAATGTATAGTCTCTCAACACCTAATAAAATTCCAGCTTGGAGTTCTGAAGTTCTGTGCAGGGTCCAGGGAAGGGTCGATCTCACTGTGTGGGTCTATTGTAGGCAGACTTACCTTGAATTTACAACTGGCTGATTCCACGACTCAAACCTATCCTGTAGGTCACATGGTGACAACTCCAACAGTCCATAGTAATAAGGCTCCCCTTCTCCCAACATCTTTAATATAACAAGTTATATTGTAGAAATATAGAGCGAGCCTTGGAGCATCGGAAATGTTACAGCTTGTGATCCGAAGATCATGGGTTCGAGTCTGGGAAATAGTTTTTTACAAAAATATAAGGATAAGGCTGCATACAGTCAACCCTCACCCCTACCCTTGCAAGTAGTGTTAATGCCTTATCATTTTTGGTATGAATTGTGAAGTCATTTCTCTTATTTTTGTTGTTGTTTCGCGTGATTGAGAATCCTGCTTCACTTTAGATGGTTTTCTGATAAGTATTGGTGAAACAACTGCTGGTGTCATGTTAATAAACTTAATCATATCATGAATAAGCGTACACATATCTGACTATCCTGGATCATTTTAGGGTTGTATTTATATTTTTGATGCATACAAAGTCTATTGGACAAGCTGTGTCAAAGGAGTTCACACTGGACAGATGGTTCTGCGTCTGGTTGAAGCAATTGGTAATTTATCTCATGCCAGACATACTCTAACTACAATTTTCTGCTTTGTACTTTCTCTTTTTATTTGCTCTCCTTGGACCAGAAGATGATTAATGAAAAATAAATGGAAAATGGGAAAAAGTTAACTGTTATTAATATTGATTTTTCACGTTTATTACCCTTGTATCCTAGAGTAACGCTGAGTATAAAGATTTCCCTCACCCCTACCCTAAGAGGTCGGGGTTTCATGGGAAGTGATTTATCAAACTTTTATTAGCCCCTCCAATTTATTCTAAGAAAGACAATGCTCCATCATTATAAGAAAGAACATTCTAGATCAACTCTGAGGTACATGTTTCCAAATACATATAGTTGGTAGACATATTGCTATATATGTTTTCATTTAGAAGTACTCCCCTTTTTATTAGAATATTCAAGTGTGATGAGTCCCACATTGGTTGGCAATGAGCTAAGGGAAGTGCATATAAGTGGGAGGACTCATGAACCCAATGCCTTAAGGTTTTGGGTTAAGATGTGGTGTCGCGTCCACTTGTTATGGTAGTGTAATTTTAGCCTATTGGTGGTGGTCCCCCCCTCCCCTTTTCCTCGGCGACCAGCCTAACATTCTTTACTTCCATTTTTAGTCCCAATATTTTATATGATTATGTTGACCACTTACATTTAGCCTCTTATTCCGCCAATAAATAGCATGAATCTTGCTGCTGCAGATGTTTATCTTGCTGGTACTGTTATGTTGATTTTTGGTATGGGCTTATATGGATTGTTCATAAGTAATGCACCACCTGATGTGCCACCTGCTGTAGACCGTGCCCTTATAGGATCCTCTCTGTTTGGAATGTTTGCTTTGAAGGTAATTTTAAACTCTATGATCTTAAACAATAATAACTACCATGCATTAAACAGTAGTGTCAATGATGTAGTGTCTGGCTTTCTGTTCATTTCTATTAAACATCTCATTAAAAATGTACATTGAGGTAAATTAAACTCATTTCTCTACAAGATCTTATTTTAATAGCCCCAAGTCTGGAACATGTCTGCAGACCCATTGGAGTTTTTCAGGTTTTACTCGTTTGGATGAGCTTTTTTTTCCCAAGAAGTTGCTTTTAGAAAAGTGCTTGTTAGTTTATTATTTGTTTAGATGTAAACTTTTTTCAAAAAAAAAGAAAAGAAGAAGGTAAAAGTAAAAGTCATCTGGCTTCAAAGAAAAGCCAAAACACCGTTTTTTATTTGAAGGTGTTTTTCGGATATTGCATCCAAACGCAAAATATGTCTGGTTTTTTAAAAAAATTCTAAATAAAGCAATGCAAAAAAAGTTTTTTTTTTGTTCAAAAAATAACCCATCCTACAAATATTTGAAGGTCTGGATTGATTATTGTGAACAGAATCTGAAGGTTCTATATAAAACATCTGTCCCTCCTTTGCATCAGTCATTTATTCTCTGATGCAACAGTAATAATATTTAACAAACAAAATTCATTAAGATAATGAAACAATAGTCGCAGATGTAGCTTACACGTTTTAACATGTGTAAACATAAAGCAATAAGTATCTATATAGTATCTAGTTGATAGATTTCCATGATATAAATATAAATTAAAACAACCTGTTTTGTGACTTTTATTTACCCTATATATTCATAAAACATACATGGATAAGGAAATCAGTTTTCTATATTTGTTCATTGATAAACTCCTACCACTTACTAGTCATCTACTCCCTGTTAAGACCCGACTACCCTTGCATTATTGCAAAGAGGTTGTTTTTCGGATTCGAACTCCTGACTTTTCAGTCACAAAAGAACAACTTTACTACTGTCCCCGACTCGCCCTCTTAGTCACCTGCTGATATTGTCCAACACTTATTCTGAATCTACCATTTTTCATTTCATGTTTATTCTTTGCCAAATTATCTCACTGCCAGTATCATATTGTATTAATTGTACCAACACTAGCATATATTTCCATATTGGAAAAGAAAGTGAATATAGTTTTTTTTCTCCCTTTACAGGAGAGGCCTAAATGGATGAAAATCAGCTCACTTGATGAATTGAAGACAAAAGTGGGGCATGTTATTGTCATGATTCTTCTCGTGAAAATGTTTGAGAGGAGCAAAATGGTTACCATAGCCACAGGAGTGGATTTACTAAGTTATTCAGTCTGCATTTTCTTATCATCTGCATCTTTGTATATCCTCCATAACCTGCATAAGTCAGAATAGAATGTAGAAAACATTGTAACATACACAATTCTTATGTATTCATCATACAATAGTGGGAAGAAATGCATGTGGTTAATACTTATCCTGTCATTCTATGCTAAATGCCTAATTTAATTCCATGTGTTTAATTTAGTCTAAAGAATCTATTTTCCTTGCCATTGAGGGTTGGCACACCTGTCAACGTTAGCTGTGCTTTGGGTTCGATTTTCAGGTTTCTCTCTTCCCCTAATCTAAACTTTTATTTTTTTAAAAATAGAATTTATTTCCCTTTTCTTTAGATACAGGCGTTGAATTATACCACTAAAGGCCAGACTATAACCAATGCTTTGTATTCTGCTGTTCTTTTTACCACAGAAGTTATCTACTGTAGACCTGGAAAATAACACAAAGAAATAATACTATTTTTGTTTAGGAATATTGACCCATAAATTAATGATAAGAAGTGTAATTTTTATTTGTAAATAACCACTTTAACTCAAAAGTTTAAAGTTGTTAGGTGAAGATCATATTAATAGTTTTATATTATATTTTGGTGAGGATCGAACTTGTGATTATCTGGTCATAGAGATTCTAATACCATATAAAATGTCATTTCAACTTAAAAATTTAAACTGATAGGTGAATATCATATTAATAATTTCATATTATATTTCTCTACCATCATTTCTTGGCTTTATTAAGCTATTATTTATGGGAAATATTAGTCTTCTTTTACATGAGTTAGCTTATCTCATTTTCTCTCACTTCGATTTCTGTACCTCACTTTTCTTTTTCTTTTTCTTTTTTTTTGTAATGGTGGGACCCACCTAGTTTCTCTCTACAACATAAGATATCTATCTTATGTAAAAGGAGATTAATAAAACCCATTATTTATATCATTTTTGTAAGGCAACATATCCACACATGCTTCAATTGAAAATTCTGAAGCTACCTCAAAATCCTTTCTTTGATTGTTAGATATATTAATATACAATTATTAACATGATTATCACTTACCAATTTAAGTTGTTGCGTTTTACATGCAGCTCAAAGCTCATTATCCCTGTTTTCGAATCAAATTAAAAAGTTAAAACGAATACAAGATAAACCAAAAAAATATGTATGTGTTATCTACCCTTCAAATTCCGGAATTTCATATGAGAGGGTGTGTTTGAGATATTAATATAAAATGGGCATATGTGTTATGGATTTGCCCGGTGCTTAAATAGAGCATCAGCGCCAAACCAAACCCTTGGATTAAACCTGTTAAAGCTGTTTTCTTATAATTATCAAAGATTTCTAATTTGGCCAACAACTCAATCAACTATTATGTATCGGTTAATATATTGTTAAGATGACAAATGGTATTCAGATGTAATAATTCATTTGTCTTACATGGATCAGAAGGTGTTAGTAATTCACATAATACTAAGGTGTATATTAAGAAGGGGGGGAACATGGGATCGATCCAGGCCTTTTAATGTAACATAATGACAAAAGGGCATTATAGGAGAACTGAAATCTCAGGAAGGATAAGATTAACAAGGCAACCAAAGGAATTGGGATATCACATGTTCATCAAGATTAACAAGACAAGATTTCCAAGAGGACTAACTAAATATGCGTGTGTTTAATCCAATTTCTATCACAGGTTCATCAAATTAATTCATTGCTCTTTCAAAAACACATTCATATGACTAACGTGATATTTTCTCTCAAAACATAATCATATTGCAATTTTGGGAGGGTCAAATAGATTCATTTGACCACCATTTGATCAACACAAATAAAATGAATTGGCACCTTAGCTCGTTGTTTGCTACTTTAGTACTAAATGGATACCATACAATTGATCATGCTAATTAAAAATATTTGACAATTCTAAGCACTTAATTAAAATTTCAAACTTTAGAAACTAATTTAAAAACTGAGTACAACTATACGACCAATAAATAAATATTTTTTTGATTACCGAAAAAAAAAATTATTACTCATTGTTTTGGCATGCAAGCAAACAAAACTTTCTTATCTAGTTTTGCTATGTCATTTAGTACTAGTTCCACGTTGAATATGGGGTCATGACCCCCTCAATTTTTTTTTTTCATGACATGCTCTTTTCTTTTTTTAAATAAAATACTTCGACTTAGTTCCAAAAACTGGTACTACTTGTTTGTTTCCCAGGGTTAAATGGTCTAGCTCGACCCTTCACATCTTTAACCCTTTGTTTAGCACATCTTCATTATATCATTAATTTTATTTCCTTTTTTATTTTCTTTAAACTTAATCAATGAAATGTTTTTCTATACAACATAAAACTTTAGATTATGTACAGTACTGGTTTGTATCAATTTTGACAGTGCAGTGCCATTAATCTGTCTGACTCTCTCCCTTGAAAGTTTCAATAGTCTTCCTATCTCCTCAAAAGACCTAGGGGTCTCTCCATTGAGTCCAAAGTGTAATCTTACAATCTCTGTTTCTCTCTTGTTAAGTGTCTTAAGAAGCTTCACCACCTCTTGCTTTATTAGCTGCCTCTCAACCATTTTCTCCGGAATCATTTCAACTGGCCCCGGCATAATCTCCTGCATTATAAAAAAAATTATGACTACTAGTTCAGAATTTGTATGAACAAGCTAAAAAAAAATCCAACTAAATAGTGCTTATAAATAAGGATGTTTACCGCTACTCTAAGGCTCACCCTCTAAATGGTGCTTATGTCACAAGTAATTTGTATTTCCATAAAGATCAAAGGATTGAGTTCAAAATAACACATGGAAGACATATTGTGTTACTAGAATTTAAAGATGTAAGCAACTACTCATAAGAGTTTCGTTTAAAGTAACTTCTTCCTTGTCCTGCACCTCTAGCTGGACACAAGCTTCGGTTAATAAGATCAAAGATTTCAGTGGGGGAAAAACATTGAAAATGATTGTGAGAGAAATATAATATAAAATCATTGATGTGTCCTTCTCTTAGCAGTTTAAGCTTTTTGATTAAAATAATTGCTTGTGGAGTTTTGTCAGTGTATTATTTACCCTTCAAGCCTGATGGGCTCTAGTGTGAGAGGATATACTAGAGTAATATAATATAAACCGATCATTAATGTGTCTTTCACCTAACAATTTAAACTTTTGATTCAAATTGGTTCTTTATGATAATATATGTGAATCAAATGTGTAGTTGTTCATATAACATAAGAAGGAAGTTATTGAACCTGAAGTGTCATGTGGCCATGTTCAGTTACAGTTTTGTCCAATGAAATTGGTCGTCTGGTCCTTTCAGAAACAACCCTTACAGTGGAAACATTCACATTGAGCTCCTCAGCTGTTTCATGGTATGTGGGAATCCGCTTCAGTCTTCTGCTTAAGACATTGTTAGCCTCTGTAACTTTTGCAACCATCGCACACTTGCCTACCTATAAATGACAAGCTAACCAAGCATTCACAATTACTTGCCTACTTCTGAAGTCTTGTATTAATTTAACCACTGTTGATGTTACTCTTCCATATTAGTTTCAACTTCTTTAAAAATTTCAGAAATTACCATAGAAGTAATGCTTGGTAAATTAGTTTATTGATCAAAACACTTTAAATAATTTTTTTTTTTAAATAAAATCACTCTCCATTAAACACCGACTAGCGAAGGGAGGGTGAGAGCAATCTTTGTACGTAGCATTATCCTTGTATATTTTTAAAAAGACTATTTCTTGGATTCGAATAAATGACCTTTCAGTCACAAAATGAGCAACTTTATTAGTGTTTTAGGCTTGCTCTTTGAAATCACTTTCAATAATAAATAAGAGCAAAATGAATATGTAAATAATAGAAATAGTGAGGAATATAAATATTTCAATTGTATTTCATTTAATTTGTAAAATTGTTTACGTATGTTTCGGTCTATTTCAAAACAAGTAACATCCACATGCACCCAGGCTAAACCTAAAGCAGTAATAATACTTTGTGAAAACATAGCACTTAAAGAACTTACCAAATACTTAAAAAGTGAACACACTTATTCTTAAGATAAGTAGAAGCCATTTATAAAATTGATCTCAAACTCAAATGTATATGTGCTATGTCAGTTGAGGTAAAAGTCATTCATTGCATTTGCAGTAAAATAAAAACACTATGTTGATTGAACCAGTGCCTCACCGGTAATCTGACTAATCTGGACTTCATGGCCAAAGCTTTAACAATGGCTTGTCTAATCCACCAGTAAACATATGTAGACAGCTTATACCCTCTATCTGGGTCAAATTTCTCTGCTCCATGAAGAAGTCCAATGGTTCCTTCCTGATAAAATGAACTAAAATACCTAAGAAGGAACTGTAACAAAGAGTAAATTACAAAAGTGTAAAGGGCACCTGAATGAGGTCTTGAAGGCTTAATCCTTTGCCTTGATAGCCAGCTGCAATGGAGGCAACTAATCCACGATAATTACGAGCTAATTTTTCTCTTGATTCTCTTGTGTTACACAATATCTTATCCATACTTGAATTACAAAGAGCCAACCTCCTTGAGATTGCAGGATTCTCTTCAAGTTCTGTAATTCTTAGCTTAGCAACTTTAATCCTTGCTCCTTCCTATAATTATGCAATTGTTACATATAATATAAATACGTCAAGTGATATAATAAAACCGTTCGTGTGTATTCATCTAACAACTTAAGATTTTGAATAAATCAAATCGTGACATGATATCAGAACTTCTATGACCAAATGATGTAGAGTTGGATCCTTGCCAACTCCATTACTTGGATGCTTTTGTTAGAGTTGCTTCATGGCAGCAAGAAAACTTGCTTTGTACTAAATCCTAATTTATTTATTTTTTTCCAACTAGAGATGTGTAAACTGGAGATATGGATAAAATTGAATTAGTATATAAACACATATGAATATGTTAAGAAGAGAATTTAATATAAAAAAATAAATAAATTAGGCATATATGAAGCAAATTATGATGTAAAATAACTATATTACTATATCAAAGGAATCATTCAAAACTCATAGAATATCTTACCTTGAGACATAAACAAAGCTCTGCCTCATCTCTTGAACTCAAGAAGCCAGATTTTACAGACCCAACTAATAATCTCTGCACTGAGCATTTGTTCTGATTCTCTTCTTCCAAATATTCCAAACTTTTTCTCCTCTTCCTCCTCCTCTTCCTCCTCATGTCCATACCTATGCTCCTATCACTAACCACCCCATTTTCACTCTCTCCAAAAGGCCATTCCTTTCCACTTCCAGCAGCTACAGACACAGCATCTTTTGCTGCCTCCACAGCAGCATTGGCCAATGCAACTGCTTCTTTAGCTGCAGCAATGACCAATGCATCACAAGAAACCAAATTTGAACCAAACTTAGAGGGAGTAGTGGGAAAACTTGGTTGAAGAGAAAAGTGTGTGTTAAGTGTTGTAAAGGTTGGAAGTGAAGAAAGAGACATGGTTGTAGGGAGAGTTGGGGATGAGCATATTCTAGTTATAGCCATAAAAGAATGATGGCATTTGTGTATAGTTTATCCATTTAAAAAAAAGTTGAACTTGCAAGATATTTTCTTATTGACAAAGTGATAATAGTATCTATCTAGTGCCGCGTTGTATGGGACAAGATAAAAGGTAAGAGGAATAATCTATACTTGTGTGGATGTCGTTGACACTATTCTTCAGTGTGCTATGTGATGTTAACCAGAATTATTAGATATTCCCAGTCTCCAAGGTTTTAACTTTGGTTTTTCTTTACTTTCAAAATTCAAGGTTCGATTGAAAGTTCTTATCAATATTATTAAAACCTCCCGACTGGCAGTTTGGATCTGTAACTTATTATCACTAATCGATTCGGTTCGGTCAATTAATATTAATTACTAAATTAGATCACTTTGATTATTATAGTACTTTTATTTAAATATTTATTACATATCATTTCAATTTAAATGATTAAAAGGTGACCCATGTAATAACCCAAACCACTAAATTAAATAATTAGAAGTTATTTAATGGTTAAAAGATATTAATTAGATGAAGAATCTAATTTTTCAATTTTAGTCATTTTTCAGGACAAAAGTATAAATAGTAAAAATCTTGTGGTAAAAATGTAATTATGAAAAAATCATCCGAAATTTAAAAATAATATAATAAAAAACCATTTTTATGATATTTATGAGTTTAAAATTATAAATGTTAAGTTATTGGTTAATTAGAATAGATTTAACAAGAAGGGTAACTTAGTCATTTATTAGTCCAAGCTTTGACCAAAAGTCAAAGATGACCAAAAAGTCTTCAAACTCACTTCAACATGATTAAGTTTCATTAAACTCATCTTCTTCCTCGTGCTCCAACTTCTTGGCCAAACCATTATTGTTCTTTAAGCTCAAAATATCAACTCTTGAACTAGCCATCAAAACTCTTAGAAACCAACATGGAAGTTTCTTAGAATCCATCAAGGAGTAAAACCCACCTCTTGGTTTCCTTAGAAAAGCTTTGTGTTGAGAGAAATCTTCGTCTAAAGTTGGCACCATTTTGGGAGGATTTGGTGTTGGAGAAGATCTTGGTCTCTTGAAGCTTGGAAACTACTCCTAGCATCATTGTGTGGAGTTTGAGGTAAGAAAACCAGACTTTCCTTGGAGTTTCTTGTAGATACATGTTTAGTTTAGGGTTTGATGAATGGTGATGTGATAATTCATGACTTGAAATGGACATGAATCTCTTTAGAAGAAATATTAAGGAGTTGTATATAATGAGTAAAAAGTATTGAAACCACCATTAGAAACATTTTTAAAATTTAGCTCATAAACAAAGTGTAGGATTCTTATGTTTTGGGACTTGTAATATATTTTTGATGGAGATGTATATGCTTGTTTAGTGGTATAATAACTCAAACCTGTATAATGAGTAATTTAGGAATTATGTCATGTTTTAAAAGAGAGAATTAAAAAATGCAACATGGCAAAAGTTATCTAAAACTTTGATATAAATTAGTGAGAGATTAATTTATGAAGTTTATGTGTAAATCACATATTTAAAATGTTAAATCATGGCTAGTTATTAGTGAATTAATAAGAAGGGCTTAAGAGTAATAACCCAAGTGTACATTGTTGACTTTGTCAACTCAAGATCAGAAAGTCTAATTAGTTTCATTAAGCCAAAACACTTCATCATTTTTCGTTCATCTTCATCCTCTAAACCGCCAACCCTATAATAACCCTGATTTGTAATATGTCTAATGGTATAATATTAACTATTTAATCTTATACAATTTGTAATGTCCCACATCGGTTGGAGAGAGGAACGAAGCATGCCTTATAAGGGTGTGGATACCTCTTCTAGTGTGAGGCCTTTTGTGGGGTGTCCCAAGAAATAAAATCGTGAGCTCGACGGTGCTTGTGCGCGGGGCAAAGCGGACAATATCATGCTACAGGGTTTGGGGCTGTTACATTTGGTATCGGAGCCTGGCCCTGGACCGGTGTGTACAGCGGGGACGCTGTATTCCCAGTGGGGGAGAATGTAATGTCCCACATCGGTTGGAGAGACGAAGCATGCCTTATAAGGGTGTTGATACCTCTTCTAGTGTGAGGCCTTTTGTGGGGTGTCCCAAGAAACAAAACCGTGAGCTCGACGGTGCTTGTGCGCGGGGCAAAGCGGACAATATCATGCTACAGGGTTTGGGGCTGTTACACAATTCAGATTAATTGAGAGGTGTTGCGTAAAATCGGCAAGTGCACCGATCGTACCAAGTAATAAAATTGAGTAAGATATCGTCCCACGAGGATTGAGGCACCAGATTTAAATTTAACTATTCCTTTCTTATTGGATGAACAAAAGAGATTTTTGAATAAATAGTATCGTGACAATTGTGAACTATTCAATATTTCGTGAATAATTCAGAGAGAAATTTGAAGAAATTAAAAAAACAAAGATTGAGATTTGAGAAAAATATTAAAAGAAAAACTATTGCAGTAAAGGACGCCAACACCTTTCCGATCCCCACCTTGTATATTGATTAATATTTATATTTAATTACCCAATTGACCAAATAATTCACCATCTATAATTAATGAGTTAAGCCTTAATCCCTTAGTGATCTTAACCTTATTAACCCTATTAGAATCCTAATCCCTTAGAAATCCCTTTTCAAGTTAATCCTTAAGCCCAGTGAATTTTCCACATTTGCAGTTCATGTAGCCTATCCCTAGTGCATACATGAACAGTTATCTTACCCTTTGTCAAGAATTAGAATCCCAATATCCCTATTGTGAATCCTAACCCTCGCAATCCTAATAGAGTCGCGAATTCTAAAAGGATTATGGGATGAAGAACAGAGTAAAATAAATTCAATTGAATAATTAATCATAAACTTAACCAAAATACAAGGGGTTCACATCAAGGGTTGTGACCCTTACCACAATATAAAAAACTAGCCAGACATATTCATGTCTGACAATTTAAAATAAAAAGAATTCATAAAAGCAATAAAGAAAAAAGAAGGAGAAGATGAAGGATCTTCAACATGAGCCTCCAAGAATTCTCTCCAGCTAAAGATGATGTTGTTTTAGAGTTTCTGCTTCCTTTATATAGCCAGTTACTCAATCAGGTCATAATCCTTGAATTAATTCTGATTAAATTTCCATTTTTCTCATAATTCCACCAATCAATCAGGTCATAATCCTCTCATTAATTTGATTAGATTTCACTTTTAATCAAACTTCACAAATCAAGGACTGCATTCATGACGCCTGCGCGATCAGCACCAAATCCGCGCGGATCGCGCCATTTTAACTTCTCTCTTTCACTTCTTTTTGGTGTTTCCTGCTATCAAAATGCATAAATTGAGTGAGAGAATGATTGAGAAGGAATAATCAATATTTCTTGCATTTATGAGCTTATTTTCACACATTTATGATTAATTCCTTGCTTCTTTTGCTTAGAAATCTCCATATGTTAGACGCATATCAAACAATTCCCAGATTTGAACTTTGTTGTCCTCAGCAATGTAATAGATTCAAGTTATCAGCAAAGAATAATTCAGTGAAAACATGGAACACAACATCTTAAGAATTCAGACTGCTATGCATGTATAACTCTCTGTTTAAAATTTTCAACAATGTTTTTCAGTTATATCAAGAATTTAGACTCCATCTTGAATATTCCTCATCAGTTTAAATGTACTCTCATCACACTCAGTGTTTAAGGGTTTCACACTTATCCATCAGTGTAGTAGGAATTCCATAGGCTTGAACTTATTCTCAATTCCTAAGAATGAGGAATCCATTTGACATGCATAGACTGATCAAAAGGTCTTTGATAGGTTGTAACTTGGCCTGGTTTGGGGGTGAGAATCTTTTGGTCAGAAGCTGAATGGAGAGATTGAAATACTGATTTTAACAATACTTCCTTCTCTTCTAGGCTTTGCCTCATTTTACAAACTTGGGATTCTTTCCCTTTCTTCACTACCTTTTTCTTTCCTTGTTTGCAGATGTTTTCTTTCTTTTCTCTTTTGAGCTGTAATTTTTCTTCTTTTCCTTGTTCAGCTACTTAACTTTTCCTTTTGAGAAGTAATTTGACTTTTCTTCTTTGATTAGCATTCAATCTCTCAAAGTGTGTCAAGAGGAACAGGATTAAGTAATTTTCATCAGGTTTGAATGAACTGGTTTAAGGCTCAAAGGGGCTTAACAATGGAAATTCTTATGGGTAGGCTATTTGGCTCTAAGTTAACAAGAATAAAAATGCCTTTATCATTTCAGTAATGCATGCAAGCCAGAGAAACAGTTCAAGTTCTAGAAACTACTACAGTGAGGCCTCTCAAAAAGAAAAATTTTTGTTTAGGCTCAAATCCTCACAGTTATAATTCAACTAGAATCGCAATTCAAAGTTTCACATCAAGCATTATCAAAAATTTCACCAAAACAGTTATAAAAATGAGCAGTCATCATTCGCAGATTAAAACAATTAATTGCTCACAGATATCATGCTTCATCTAACTCAATCTAATTATTTACTGAGTAAGCTTAGAACATGCTGGAACTGCTTGTTTAGGAATTCTCTAAAAATTTTCTCTTTTTCTTTAAAAATTGAATCTAACTAAAAACAGCAAATAAAAAAAAATTTGAAGGTTAAAATATCTCCCCTTTTTCAGAAAAATTTCTGTTTAGACGCTTTTTCCGTGGTGTAGTTCCGCAGTATTTAGCAAGTCTCACGTCTCGCATACAGTATGCGACAATTCCCAGATTTAGAACGTTGCTGTCCTCAGCAACAAACTATACTAGTCGAAGGGCTAATTCTGCCAGGTGGAACACACGCACATACACTTGTTAAACAGTAAACACAGAATAATCATCAAAGCGAAATGTATAAAAGGGAGACATAATCAAACCATAATCTAAAAACAGCAAAATAAAAGTCAAAGTAAGTATCTTGGTGAAGTGAGTTGGCGCTCACGTCGTGGGTTTCACGCTGTGAGCGTGGAACCTACTGCCATTTTTTTTCTTTCTGGCGCTCTCAGCATGGTTTTCACTGCCTCTTTTGGCTGTCTGACACTACTAGCGCCAAATTGGCGCTGACGGCGCCAATTCCCAGATTAAAATTTTTCCACATGGTCACTAATTCACCACTTACTTGACTTATTTAAAAATTAAACTAACCTAAGCAAATAAAATAAAATAAAATAAAAAACAACTATTGGGTTGCCTCCCAATTAGCGCTTGTTTAACGTCACGAGCCTGACGTACCCCTTGTGATTTATGGTGGTTGGAAGCATGCTACCAATGATGACCTAGTCTTCTTGATCCAATGTTGTGTCTTTCCGGGATCATATGTATGTGGTTGAGGAAGAAGTTTCTCAGAACTTTTAGGCTTGGTTTTCACAATTTTCTCCTTACTCTTGTGCTTTTCCATCTTAACCTTTGGCTTGCTTTCTTCATGTCGCCGATGGACTTCCTTCTTACTCCCTTCCTCAACTTTAGACAAGTCTTTATTGATAATGACAGGGTATTGATCTTCATCTCCAAAGAAAGCATATTTCAGAGTTTCAGGTAACTCCTTCAATTCTGCTTTTGGTGCTACTGTAATTAGATCATGTTCCTTCTTTTCTAGCATCTCAAAAACAACTTCTAACTCTTCTTGTGGAGTAGCTTCATCTAGAGCCTTCAACTCTTCTTCAAGCTCTTGAAGCTCACTTTTCTCTTCCATAACCACCTCTTTCACTGCTTCATCAATCACATCAAGTCTGAAGCAATCACTGGGGTCAGATGAGTTCTTCATAGCTTTAAACACGTTGATTGTGATTGTCTCATCGTTCATTCGTAACTCGAGCTTTCCTTGTTCAACATCAATCAAAGCCCGAGCTGTGGCCAAGAATGGCCTTCCAAGCAGAAGAGGTATTTCAGTTTCTTCTTCCATATCCAACACAATGAAATCAGCAGGGAAGATAAATTTGTCAACTTTGACAAGGACATCCTCTAGTATCCCATTGGGTCTCCTTGTTGAACGGTCAGCTAATTGTAAAGAGACCATGGTTGACTTCAGTTCAGAAATTCCCAATTTTTTGCATATTGACAGCGGCATCAAGTTGATGCTTGCTCCAAGATCATATAGTGCCCGACCAACATTAGTATTGCCTACCGCAATTGGAATGTTGAAACTTCCCGGATCTTGAAGCTTTGGTGGGAACTTCTTCTGAATGATGGCACTGCACTCTTCAGTAAGTGCTACTGTCTCACAATCCTGCAACTTATGCTTTCTAGACAATAAATCTTTCATGAATTTAGCATAGTTAGGCATGCTAGCAAGAGCTTCAGCAAATGGAATATTAATATGCAATTTTTTAAACATTTCTAAAAACCTGGCATACTGTTGTTTCTGTGCTTGCTGCTTGAGCTTCATAGGATATGGAGGTTTCTCAAAACGAGAATAATCCATCAGTTTCTTTGGAGCTTCAACAGCTTTCTCCTTTGCTTCTTCTTTGTCTTGCCTTGCAGGTTCTCCTTCCTCATGCTCCAGCTCAGGTGTTGGCTCATCGACTTTCTTTGGTTGAACTGATTTCGGCTTTTCTTGAGGAGTGATCACAATTCCACTCCTTGTCACAATGGACTTGCATTCTTCCTTTGGATTCACAATTGTATCACTTGGGAATTTTCCTTGAGACCTTTCAGCCAACCTTCTAGACAACTGGCCTATTTGACTCTCCAAGTTTCGAATGGAAGCATCCTGGTTCTTGTGGTGGGCTCTGGTCTCCATTATGTGATCATTGGTGGTTTTGGCCAGCTGTATCATTGCTTTCTCCAATTCGGATGGCTCTTTTTGTTGCAGCGGAGGAGGTTGCAGATAGTTGTTGGATTTATAATCCAAGCCGCTCCCTTGATTCCTCCTTTGGAAGTTGTTCCCTTGGCCTCCATTCTGATTTCTCTGGTAACTTTGAGTGTTCTGTGGAGGCCGTGGATCATACCAAATTCCATTGACCTGGAACGGTTCAGCGCTATTGAGTGTAGGGCACTCATTAGTATCATGCGGCTCCTTACAATACTCACAGTCGAATACATCTACCTTGGCTGTTGAGAGCTGCATCTTGTCGAGCTTGGCATTCAGACTGGCCAGCTGCTGCGAAATCATCCTTTGTTCAGCTAATGAGGCGTCAGTGTTCCCTAGTTGTAAAATTCCCCTATTGGGCTGAGCTGTTTGAACTAGAGGAACTGTAGTTGACGCATTATCATTCCGTGCCAAATAATCAATGAGCTCCAGGGTTTCCTCTGTTGTCTTCTTTCCGATGGTTCCACCGGCTGCACTGTTGACAATCATCCTGGTATCCGGTGTCATCCTGTTGTAAAAGACTCTGACCTTCTTCTCGTCTGGAAAGTCATATTGTGGGCATTTTCTGATCAACTCCTGGAATCTCGTCCAAGCATCACAGAGTGTCTCTCCTGGTTGCTGAATGAAGTTAGTGATTTCGTTCACCAACTTGTTGTATTTTTCCCGAGAAAAATGTTCAGCAAAGAACTTAGCTGCTAAGTCCTCCCATGTTCGGATACTGTTGGGAGCTTGTCGAGTTAGCCATCTGAGGGATTTTTCGGTCACAGCAAAAGGAAACAACCTGAGTCTGATTGCATCATCAGACACTCCATGATGCTTCGTGGTGTCACAGATTCTCAGAAATCTGTCCATGAAGTCATGAGGATCTTCGTAATCCTCTCCACCGAATGGGCTCTTCTCTACCAAGTTGATCAGCGACGGATTGATGTCAAAATTGTTGGCATCTATCTGTGGCCGGACAACACTTGAGTTCGGCCTTGTGAACATAGGAGCCAAAATTGACTCCATCAACACCGCTGGAGGAGGAGGTTGATCTCCATTATTGGCAGCCATCACGGGTGTTATTTGTGGCTTGGAACTTGAGGACTCCTCTTGCTTTCTTTGCTTGGCTTGTTTCCGATTTTTCTTTGCAGTTTTCTCTATTTCTGGATCGAACTGTAAAGAATCCCGATGTACTTTACCTCGCATAAACTAAGCAAAAGGTCAGTAACAAAACAAAATCCAATAAAGAAATTCAAAAGTTAAAAATAAATTAGGCGTAGTCAATCCCCGGCAACGGCGCCAAAAACTTGTTACGTAAAATCGGCAAGTGCACCGATCGTACCAAGTAATAAAAGTGAGTAAGATATCGTCCCACGAGGATTGAGGCACCAGATTTAAATTTAACTATTCCTTTCTTATTGGATGAACAAAAGAGGTTTTTGAATAAATAGTATCGTGACAATTGTGAACTATTCAATATTTCGTGAATAATTCAGAGAGAAATTTGAAGAAATTAAAAAAACAAAGATTGAGATTTGAGAAAAATATTAAAAGAAAAACTATTGCAGTTAAGGACGCCAACACCTTTCCGATCCCCACCTTGTAATATTGATTAATATTTATATTTAATTACCCAATTAACCAAATAATTCACCATCTATAATTAATGAGTTAAGCCCTAATCCCTTAGTGATCTTAACCTTATTAACCCTATTAGAATCCTAATCCCTTAGAAATCCTTTTTCAAGTTAATCCTTAAGCCCAGTGAATTTTCCACATTTGCAGTTCATGTAGCCTATCCCTAGTGCATACATGAACAATTATCTTACCCTTTGTCAGGAATTAGAATCCCAATATCCCTATTGTGAATCCTAACCCTCGCAATCCTAATAGAGTCGCGAATTCTAAAAGAATTATGGGATGAAGAACAGAGTAAAATAAACTCAATTGAATAATTAATCATAAACTTAACCAAAATACAAGGGGTTCACATCAAGGGTTGTGACCCTTACCACAATATAAAAAACTAGCCAGACATATTCATGTCTGACAATTTAAAATAAAAAAAATTCACAAAAGCAATAAAGAAAAAAGAAGAAGAAGATGAAGGATCTTCAACACGAGCCTCCAAGAATTCTCTCCAGCTAAAGATGATGTTGTTTTAGAGTTTCTGCTTCCTTTATATAGCCAGCTACTCAATCAGGTCATCATCCTTGAATTAATTCTGATTAAATTTCCATTTTTCTCATAATTCCACTAATCAATCAGGTCATAATCCTCTCATTAATTTGATTAGATTTCACTTTTAATCAAACTCCACAAATCAAGGACTGAATTCATGACGCCTGCACGATCAGCACCAAATCCGCGCGAATCGCGCCATTTTAACTTCTCTCTTTCACTTCTTTTTGGTGTTTCCTGCTATCAAAATGCATTAATTGAGTGAGAGAATGATTGAGAAGGAATAATCAATATTTCTTGCATTTATGAGCTTATTTTCACACATTTATGATTAATTCCTTGCTTCTTTTACTTAGAAATCTCCATATGTTAGACGCATATCAAGAGGCTTAATACAAAGGATTGGATTAAATATTAATCAAGCAAATAAGTAGGAGTATTTAGTTCAATCAATTTGGAGTGGCATTAGTGATCGAAGATTTAATTGTGCTTAATCAGATTAATTAAGTGAGAGGCTTAAGCATCCATAAAACTGTATATAATTGTGGTTGTGTCCTGCGAATAATTGGTCAGATTACCTACTTCAAGTAGCTTCATGAAGCTCACTAATGTTATGGTTATATAAAATAAATGTTCAACTTGTATGCATATATTACATTATGACCGCCGGGGCATGGCCAATCATAATGTTAACAAGCTTATTTTTTCTAACGCACAAAGTAGATAAGCAGTAGACAATTTTCAGCCTTCTGTGTCTGACACGGATCATCAACAGCTTTTTCAGGAATCACTTGAAACATGAGTATGCCTATTTGGACTTTTTGGTGGACTTGTGGGATATATGCAGTCCAACTATTGTAAATGTTGTATTTTACTTTTTGGTGACTCTTCAAGTTGAAGAAGACAGTTATTGTGTAGGGCGGTCAAATGATTTGATCATTCTCAATACAAGAACGCTCCGATGATTTCTCTTCCTATCCCGTGGCATGTTGAATAAACATTAAATATGGAGTTATGTGTCAGTTTAATTTTTAATGAGTTTAATTCAGCAAACGTTAAATGTCAGTTTTATGTTTTTAAGTTTCTGAAGTTATGTAAGTTTATTGTGGTGTTAAGTATCTTTATTGTAGAGTTATAAGTTTTGTAATTTAAAAATCTATTGTTTGAATGTAAAAGTTACGACTTCTACCTTAGTAAAACTTCTTTGTTTTTACTCTTCTCCTATCAAATTGGTATCAAAGCCAATGGAGAGTATGACCGGTAATGCACCGCTACCCCGACTTACGAAGGCGAACTACGAGAATTGGAGCATCCAAATGAAAGCTCTTCTCGGGTCTCAAGACGGTTGGGAGGTCGTCCAAGAAGGTTTCGAAGAACCGGAAACTACCGCAGGGTATACGGCGGCTCAAAACAAGGCGTTGAAAGAGACGCGATCGAAAAATAAGGCAGCTTTGTACATGTTGTTTCGAGCTGTTGACGAGTCGGGCTTTGAGAAGATTGCGAGTGCGACAACTTCAAAAGAAGCGTGGGACATTTTGGCAAAGGTGTACAAAGGAGCAGATCGAGTTAAACAAGTCCGCCTTCAAACTCTTCGCGGCGAGTTGGAAGGCATGAAGATGAAGGAGTCGAAAGGTGTCTCTGACTACATCACGCGTGTTCAAAGCGTGGTGAACCAACTCAACCGAAACAGAGAAGCATTAACCGATGCGCGAGTTGTGGAGAAGATTTTGAGGTCATTAACCGACAACTTCGAGAATGTCGTATGTGCCATAGAAGAGTCAAAGGACCTAGCAACGCTCACGGTCGACGAGCTCGCTGGTTCTCTCGAGGCACACGAACAACGCAAGAAGAAGAAGGAGGAGGAGACACTCGAGCAAGCACTTCAAACCAAGGCAGCAATCAAAGATGAAAAGGCACTCTATTCTCAAAACTTTAGAGGTAGAGGGCGTGCCCGTGGAGGTCGAGGAAATGGTCGCGGTGGTAGAGGTCGCGGTCAAGAAGGGTATTATGAGGAGAAGGGGCAATCAAACCAACAGAATTGGCGTGGAAGAGGGCGCGGTCGTGGGAGAGGCGGTCGGTCAAATTATTCCAACATCGAGTGCTACAAGTGTGGCAAATATGGTCACTATGCAAAGGATTGTAACTCTGATAAGTGTTACAATTGTGGCGAGGTGGGGCATTTCGCGAAAGAATGTCGATTCGAGAAAAAGGTGGAAGAGACAACCAACCTAGCCACGGAAGATGAGGCGAAAGAAGGTCTTCTCATGATGACACACAATGAAGGCAACACCGACAATGACACAGTGTGGTACCTCGACACGGGTGCAAGCAACCATATGTCCGGGCACGAGCACCGATTCAGAGAGATGCGAAAGGTGGAAACTGGACATGTGTCGTTTGGAGATGCGTCGAAGGTTGAGGTCAAAGGCCAATGTACGATTTTTTACTTACAAAAGGATGGCTTAATTGGATCAATCCAAGATGTGTATTACGTACCAGACCTCAATAGCAGCATCTTGAGTATGGGGCAACTCATGGAGAAAGGTTATTCGGTACTTATGCAAGGCCGAATTTTACACTTGAAAGATAAGCAAAGGCGTTCGGTCGCTCGAGTTGAAATGGGGAGAAATCGCATGTACAAGCTGAATTTGAAAAGCGTGCGAGAAAATGTTTGCAGGTAGACGTAGAAGACAAGGCGTCGCTGTGGCATCTCCGTTTTGGTCACCTACATCATGGTGGTCTAAACGAGTTAGCAAAGAAGAATATGGTGCACGGGCTACCAGACATGGACTACGAGGGAAAGTTTTGTGAAGAGTGTGTGCTTGGCAAGCATGCGAGAACTTCGCTTTAAAAGAAAGCAGAATATCGGGCTAAGCAACCTCTTGAGTTGATTCATACTGACATGTGGACCAATCACCCCTGAATCTTTTAGCGGTAAGAGGTATTTTATTTCCTTTATTGATGATTTCTCACGAAAAACTTGGGTTTATTTTTTGAAAGAAAAATCCGAGGCGTTCGAGGTGTTCAAAAAGTTCAAAGTGATGGTGGAAAAGACAACCGGTAGACACATCAAATCCATACGATCTGATAGAGGTGGAGAGTATACTTCAACAGTTTTCATGGAGTATTGTGAGGAGCAAGGCATAAGGCGGTTTCTAACCGCACCGTACTCTATGCAACAAAACGGTGTGGCCGAGAGGAAGAACAGGACCATTCTTGACATGGTTCGATCAATGCTCAAGAGCAAGAAGATGCCGAAGGAATTTTGGGCGGAAGCTGTGCAATGTGCCATCTATGTGCAAAATCGGTGTCCACATGCGAAGTTGGATGATCAAACCCCGCAAGAGGCATGGAGCGGACAAAAACCGACAGTCTGTCGTCTCAAAGTATTTGGTAGTGTGGCCTATGCACACGTGCCAGATCAGCGAAGAACGAAGCTTGAAGACAAAAGCAAAAGGTATATTTTTATTGGGTATGATGAGAAAACA